GTAACCTGTGCAAAACTAAGCAGTCGAAATCTGTTCTACTGCCAAACTCTCATGGTAAACACCAGCTGTGCAGGAATCAAAAAGTAACCCTAGTAGATAGAAGCTTCCCCTAGCCCCCATCTCCATAGAAGTCAGAGATCTGGGACAGGCAGTAAGGAGACAACCACTGACTTTGAGAAAATAGAAATTGTTTTCAGCTCAAAATTGTCACCAAGAAATAGACAGCAGTGAAAACATCCCTTTGAGCCTCTCAGGTGATTATCTGTGAGACAGCAATGGGATTCCCAGAACAATTGCTAAAATAAAAAATGTAATCATACAACAGCCAAACCAAGTGCAGTTTTAGCCCTCACATTCCAATTCCCCAAAAGGCAACAGTCTAAAGAATATTCTAGTAGCTAGTCTGTCATTTCTAAAAGCAGCCTCATAGAAAAATGGAATAAATTGCTTGTATTGGGGTGCTCTTAACAAGTCAGAAGTCTTTATTTCTATTTGTGCACTGAACAGTTTTTAGAAGGACAAAGGCGAGTAGAACAAGACAACCCCAAAGACCAAACTGTGTTTCTCTTCTTCTAGGATAGGACAATAGCCAGTTGAAGAATTTAGTTTGGATCTCTGTCACAAATTTTCTAGGTCTCTAAACTAATTCTTCTTTCTGATCATCTTTATAATAGTTGCTTCTCTCATTGCTGTGACACAATATCTAATAAAATCTACTTCCGGAATGACTGATTCTAGCTCAGAGTTTGTGAGGCCCATCTAGTGTGGTGGGAGGGTGTGACAGTGCAAGAGTGAGGTTTGTGATCACACTGCATCTTTAGTCAGGAAGCAATGAGAGATGAATTCTGGCGCTCAGCTAGCTTCCTTCCTTCTTTCCTTCCTTCCTTCCTTCTTTCTTTCCTTCTTTCCTTCCCTCCCTTCCTCCCTCCTTCTTTCCCTCCCTCCCTCCTTCCCTCCCTCCCTCCCTCCTCCCTTCCTCCCTCCTTCCCTCCCTCCTCCCTTCCTCCCTCCTTCCCTCCCTCCCTCCCTCCTTCCTTCCCTCCCTCCCTCCCTCCTTCCTTCCTTCCTTCCTCCCTCCTTCCTTCCCTCCTTCCTTCCTTCCTTCCTTCTTTCCTTCTTTCTTTTCTTTAATTCCGTCTGGAACTGACCCCTGCTTATGGAATGGTGCTACCCACATTTAGAACCTTCTTTCCTCAGTTAACCTCTCTGAAAACACCCTCACAGACAGGCCCAGGGGTGTGTTGCAAAATGATTCTCAATCTAGTCAACTTTACACCAAAGATTAATCCCCAGTCTTATTATTATTACATTTATGTGTTTGTTTGGTGTGTGTGTCTGTGCACCTGCACAAGTGTGTATGTGTGCACTGTGACACACATGTGGCAGAGAACAATTTTAGGAGTTGGTTCTCTCCTTCCACCATGTGAGTCTAGGGATCAAACTCAGGTTGTGGACTTGGTGGCAGGCACTTTACCTGCTGAGCCATCTCACTGGCTCCCATCAATCTTTTATAGGTTTTAAACTTCACTGTTTGGGGAATGGGGTTTGGACATAGCACAGAAGCCTTCTATTCAGTGGCTGGTGGCCTTCCTTCTTTCTCTTCCCTTCCCTTTTTTCCCACTCCCCCCATCTGGCTTCCTCTCTTAGTTTCTAATGGCCATGGGAAAAAAATCTCTTTTCTTGCTCCATATAAATTCTTCTTTTACTAAGGCAGCAGATTGTTCGAAGCCTAAGACCTGACACATGGCAATTAAACTTTCAGAGCGTCCATCATTACACAACATTGCTGATGTCTTTATCTTTGGAGTGTTCATTCCAGCCATTGCAGAGGCTATGCTATGGAGTGACCTAACATTGCTTCTAGAAGCCTCGATATAAGTAAACCATGTTGCCTGCTTTATAGAGGAAGTTAGTACTTAACCCTTCTCTGGAGAGAAGACAGTGTCCCCTGAAACACGAGTGCATGTCCAGTTCTGTTTGCTACTTTAATGAGCCATTTTCCCTCTGGAAATCCTCTCTGAACTTTCATACTTACAGGACTACATGAAAGACTATATTCTAAAATATTTGATGTAAAAATAAAATATTCTGACTTGTATAACATATATAATTTTTACTTAAGATATGGCCTTCCTAGAAACCATTTTCCAAGCAGTAACTAAAGGTAACACTTAGGGCAATTTTAAAAAATATATTTCATGCATTGAGGTTGCAAGTCCCTTAAGGCTAGTTCTATTTTTGTGTCTACGTTGACAATAGCTGAGACTGTCACAGTCATTCACCTTCATCATTAAAAGAACCATATAAAGTTCCTTTCCCCTCTAAAGTTAGAATGTGAAGTGCTGGCCTTGCAGACTTGACTTGGTAAGTCCTTGGTTTGTATTCAGAGATTCTGAGGCTAGATAACCAGAAGAGGTCAGATCTTAACACTGAGAAATCTGACCATTTTGCAAAAGTACTTGTGAAAAGCAAATGCTTTCATAAGCCTTTCATTATGGATGCTTCTCGAAGAGTCATATAACTTACAAATAGACAAATTTTATTACAGGACAGAAATGTAGGGGCTGGAAAGATGTCTTAGTGATTAAGATCACATACTGCTTGCAGATGACCCAAGTTCAGTTCCCAGCATCCATGTCAGGTGGCTCACAATCACCTGTAACTCTAGCTCCAGGAAGATCTGATGCTCTAGGCCTCTGAGAGCTCTTGCGCTCGTGTGCACATACCCTATGCTGATACACACAAACACATAATTAAAACTATGTGGCAACAGGTCATGTCACATGGAGCAGCCAGCTGGCCCTAACTGGATTAGCAATGTTAAAAATCTATAGTGGTCTCTAATGCATGACTCTGTGGGATCTAAGTCAATGTCACATACATCCCAATGTTAGTCAACATTGTGGGAGGGAGAAAAAGTGGTCACAGAGATGGTCTGTGCTGTCTTTGAAGAGGAAACAGAGGAGGCCATCAGTCAAGCATCTGCACATCCCTAGAAGCTGTTCTAGAAAGGATGGGAAACTGAGTTCTCCACAAGAGGACCATTTAAAGCACACAGTTCTACCAGTGCCTTCACTTTGGCACCAGGAGAGCAGGGTTACAACTCCAGCACCGTGAGATGTTAAACTTGGTGGTGTTTTAAGTCACTAAATCTGTGATTAGCTATGCCTGTAGTAAAGAGTCAAATACATATTGTTCAATGCAAAAGAGATGTGTAGGGAACGAGGGGCGGGGCAGGGTACCTTCCTGGAGTGAGATGGTTTGGCTGTAACTTCAGATGTACTCTATGTATTAGTGTACTTTCTAATATATTGTTTGATAGCTTGCAGCACATTTCACACTCTATCACATGTCAGAATCTGAGCATGCCCAGATCCTCCCAGCACAGCTATGAGTTGCTAAGGCACCAACCAAATGGCTTTCTGTTGTCCCAAAAATTTAGGAGATACATTTTTATCAGAAAGAACATTATTCATCTAATTTTTAATACAAAAGTCTGATGATTCCCCACCAACATCAAAATATTCTTTCAAATCTCAGAACAAAGTGAGTTGTTGAAAGATGACATGTCACTATTTTCATCTCCAGTTGATCCCACTGTCACAGAGACTCAGATTGGCTTGGATTTAGTTAGAGTCTTTCCCAGTGATGTCTATACATTATATACAAACAGTGAAGCACTGAGGCACTAGGATTCTGAGACAGTCTTTGGGAAACAGCACACAAATAACAAGACTGGTATCACAAGGCACCCTTGTGGATGACTGGTTTCACTAGCATGGCCATATGCTGGGAAGAGGACACAGAAAGAGAAGAAGCTACAGCAATGGAAGCATCTTAGTTCACAAAACGTATTGACTAGAAATAAATAACAACGCTTTAGGAAAAAGCAATAAAGGCATTAGAAAGCTCAGGCCACCGTAAAAGTCGGCTTCAGAGCAAATCCACAGAACAGTGATTGAAACAGGGATGATGCCACTACTGATATTAAGCATGCCTCAGAAGCCACCTTCATGTTCTCCAAGCAGCCAGCCTCTGCACAGTGAGGTCTCCAGCACTGTGGATGTGACTGTATAATTTAGCCCCTGTGGTTTGGATTTATGCAAACAGTATTAAACTGTTGCTGCATGGAGAGCTGAATAGAGGTGATCAGGGTCACCTGAGTGGCAGTCGCCAGAGGCTAGGATGAAATAAGAGTCAGAACTTCACCTCAGCAGCCAGAGACACAGTGGCTTGTTTGGGACAATACTGTCCTTCTGCCTGTCACAGCACAGTAGGGAAGACGGAGGCTTCCAGAGGGTGCTAACTAAAATCAGCAGCATGGCACATGCAAGCTGCCAGACCGAGGAGGAAATGACTGCAGGGTCTTTGTCATCACAGCACAGATGTCCCCACTGAATCTCATCCTCCTGTCTTTTCAAACAACGCGTTTTCCTTTTCCATCAAAATTTTCCATTTTCCAACTAAATTTGTCAAAGCTGTTTTTGTTGTTATTGGGACTTTTGTTTGTTTGTCTAGTTGGTTGGTTTGATTGGTCTTTGATTAGTTTGTTCGTTTGCTTGTTCATTATGGAAATGGGATCTCACACTGCAGCCCAGGCTGCCTGGAACTCACTATGTAACCCTACTGGTCTCAAATTCACATCAATCCTCCTGCCTCAACCTCCTGAGTACTGGGATTATAGCCTATACCAGTGGTTCTAGCAAATCCAGAATTTATACAAAAAGGCATTTCTATTGATAACTGTGAGGTTGGTATATAAACTGCAAATGTACTTTATAACAACAAGGTTGTCTTTACATTACATGTGACTTTTCTTAAACTTGATTCTGCAGAGCAGTGTTCTACTTAAAATACTATAATAACCCTTGTAAAGCTTACTTGTTTAAACTGTGATTTTTTAAAAGCTGTTTCACTATTTTCTATATGAATGGAAATGTATTTAAGTGCACCTACTTGTTGGTAATAAGCTCCTAACCTCTGTCACTTCTGACTTATAGGGTATCTTTGTTACTAGGGTTCAGCCTGATGGACCAGCATCCAACCTACTACAGCCTGGAGATAAGATCCTTCAGGTAAGATGAACACAAGCTGACATGTCAGTGTCAGGTAGAGTACTTGAACTCAACACTGACAATCAGCTCTTCCTGTGTTGCTCACTTGTCAGTGTGGCTTTAAAACCCTGTCCATCATAAGCCTGTGTCTATAGTGGCAGCCATAGCCATGCCATTTTGTAAAGCTCTTCCATTTTAGTTGAATAATAAGAATTCATGAAACTAAAGTAATTTGGTTCCTAGAATCAAAGCCCCCATAGTTGATTCTACATATAGGCCCCAGGCTAACAGAATCCCTCACCTGCCCCATGCCCACCAGGAATCAGAGATAGCTTCACTATAAGCATGTACTGTGGACTTCCCATAAGTCACCTGCTAGAGAAACTCTTCTTCTAAAATGTGTAAAAATAGTCCCTTACTCTACCATGTTGGCCAGAAACTCTCCTCAGAACCCTACCATGCTGCTGTCTAAGGCCTTACTAGCTCTTTTAGCAAGCCTCTTCCTCAAAAGGACAGTCCACCTCAGCATCCACCTCAAATCCCAAACAAAAAACCTTCCCCTGAATACCTGACAAGCTCCCAGTACATGGCAGCATCCTGCACATTATTGTTGGGTGAACAGAATTACATGATGATACAAGAATGTGTACACATGTAAACACATGAGCCTGTATGGTTATAAACTAAAGAAAGCACAATTGCCTCTGATGGGCATCTGTATGGCTTTCCATGAGTTCACAAGAGTGAACGCATTTCCATTTGAAGGCTATAACACACGGTTGTATCTCTCTGTTCTCCTGTCCGGAACACAAGATAAACTTTTTAAATGTCATGTAGAGAAAGGCTTTCTCAAACTTAACACTATACGTACAATCAGAAAAGAGCCACTGTATTAAACAGTTAAACATGTGCTTGGTTTAGCCTTATCGACTTGATTCTCTTTTCCTCCTCCCCAAATTTAACTCCCCTGTAAGAGGTGTTTAATTATCTCCTACACTGTGAAAAAGACCTTTAAGGACCGCCAGTGTGCTCAAGATTAAATGATTGAACAAAAATTCCCCATTATATAAGTGATGGAACTGCCTGAAATTGCTAGTGCTTGACTTGGGTACACTGAGAAGGCAAGGCACGCGAGAAAGGAGCTGTCATCAGTTCTATGTCACTGTCTTGCTCCCTTCCTCTCCCCACACTGAACTTCAAAGGAATCTCAGAATTTGAAAAAAAAAATAAGTGTATCCAATTAATTTCTGGTGTCTGAGTTGTTAAAATGGTTACATTCACATTCTACAACTTCAGACCAGGTGGCAGGTTCCCCTCTACCCATGCTGGAGTCAGAGAAAGGAACTTGTCTCCTTCTCAGATTCAAAAAGGAAGAACCTCCTGGTGGAAAACAAGACGCTCCTGTCTCCTAAGAGGATGAGCATGTGCTCTTTCCTGTGAAGGTCTCCAAGGCTGCATGTAGGGCAGGAGGAGAAATGTGTGGCATTTCAAATCCTGAGACTTGCACACTGGCTGCCAAGCACACAGAGTGGGCTCCTAGAATAAGAGGGAAGGAATTATGAGTCAGTGAGTAAGAGGCAGAACATGCTAAGTCTCTCCTCTCCACAAATGACATCAGAGATGTACCTTAAAATTCATTTCACAGTCCACTGTCAGAAAAAGAAGGAAAACACATAAACCTTACAGTTTTGCTCATGGTGATTAAAAATCAAAAGTGGTCAATTACATTCTCTGGAAGAAAAATGGAACTAGTTCTTTGTGGTTGTCAGTGTCATAAGTGAGAAAGTGAGCTGTGTTCTTGATTTGTTTTCATACTTTTGAATACTCAAGAATGCTGGGAAAGGGCTCCGTGATCAGTCACAAAATCGGTGTTCTACTTGTTACTTGGACAAATACATTTCCAAAGCTTAATAACAATAAAAATCCCGAGAAATATAAACGAAACAAAGAAAAGTGTGACAAAGAGCCATCCTGAGCGCTGAGGTTACTGGATTTGGCAGCAAAGAACAAAGGAAACACAAGAAAGCAAAGAGATGCTATTCCCAGCCTCCCAAACCACAATTCTCCATTTCTCCTTTTCTGTGACTCTATTTTATGTGTGTGAGTGTGTGTAACACATGTGTGTATGTGTGTAACATATGTGTGTAGTGGGTGATGCATGTGTGCAACATATATATGTGACCTATGTATATGTATGTAACATGTGTGTAACGTGTATTATGATACATGTATGTAACATGTGTATGTGACCTACATGTATGTGTGTAACATATGTATGTGTATACATGTTGGCCATGAGCAAAAAGCCAAAGAGCAACATCAAGCATCTTTGTATACCATTCTCCACCCTAGTTTTTAAGATGAAATCTCTCATTGAGCTCGAACTTACCAGCTAGCTGGACTGAATGGCCAGTGAGCCCCAAGAATTTTTGTGTCTTCATGCTTCTCCACCAGAACTAGGGTTACAGACATGTGCTACCCTGGCTTCCACATGGTTGCCTGGGATCCAAACTCAGGTTCCTGTGCTGATGTTATAGGCACTTTACCAACTGAGCCACCTCCCAGCTCTGCATGACTCTACCCACCACTCCTGTCTGCTACTCTGAAATGATGAGCACACAGTTTGAATTACATGTGGATGTGTGCTTGAAGGGATGGTGCTCATGTAAACACATTTGCCTGACTTTTCTGTATTTTACCATTTGTTTTCCCCATGTAGATCCACTACAATGGATGAATGTATTAAAACAACTCGTACTATTTTGCTTTAAACTTACCTGGAATAATTTATAGAAGGAAAGACAAAAAACTGAAATTACATGAATCATTACAAAAAAAATAGATCCCTGTGTATTTGCTGATCCATAACCATTATCCAAATGGCAGTTTTGTTATTTTAACATCTACTGTTCTTTCTTCTTTCTAATGTTCTTTCTACCTGAAAAAAAATTCAACCAAATTCATTACATGCACTGCAATTCTAAATGTAGCTATGCACAGAGAGATATCCACTGACTAAAGTTGCTTTGTTGAAAAGATGAGTAGATTGGGGGAAATTATACTTGCTAGTGAGCAATAGAATTCACAGTCACAGCCTAAAGCATGAGTGTTCGGTGCTCTGCTCTGTCCCCATCCCCGTTTAAACAGTCCTAATGTGGGCAACAGAAGAGAAAGTACATAACTTATAGAGAACTCACCAATAGCATCTATATTTTACCAGTTACTAAACCTGAAGATTTTTTCCAACATGAGGCATATCAGTGTGTTGCCCTATTGAAGATAATTGCAGTTTCTTATACCTAATAATCATTCTAGGGCTTTAGAATTAGTAATATGTACTCCTGTATTTCTTTTCTCTTCCTTCCTTCCTTCCTTCCTTCCTTCCTTCCTTCCTCCCTCCCTCCCTCCCTCCCTCCCTCCCTCCCTCCCTCCCTGCCCATACATGTAGACCAAGATAGCCTCAAACTCCTAGTTCAAGACTATATTTCTAAGAGACCAAAGTAACATAGTTAAGGTAACAATAATATAAACCATGTATTTCTCTCCTTTTTGCTAATTTTTTGGTGTATTTATTTAGTTTTATATGTATGAGTGTTTTTCCTACATGTATGTGTACCGTGTACATGCCTGATGCCCATGGAAGTCAGAAGAGGGCATTGGAGCCCCTGGAACTAGAATTACAGATGGTCATGAGCCACTGTGTGGGAACTGAACCCAGTTCCTCTACATGAGTTTTAACAAATGCTCTTAACCACTAAGCCGTCTCTCTAGCCCTTGTACTAATCTTTAAAACTGTGATTGAATTCACATAGAAGTTTAAAGCGTAGCTGTCAATCACTGTGTCTACCAGAAAACACTTGGTCTGTTTGCAGGTGTAATTAGGGTGATGTTTAATGCTTCATGTTGCTGTCACCGTTGATCTGCACCAGACCTATTACTTCATCATCCTGTTCTGTAACCACCAGTCACTTGGCCCTACATCCCTATTAGTGTCTTATGAGTGGTTGGTGTTAGATGCTTCTCAGCCATTGCTGTGACAGAACACCTGAGGGATGAAGGATTTGTTTTGTTTGAGTTTCAGAAGCTCCTGTCCAAGGCCCCTTAACTTCTGACACATTCTGAGACAAAGCATCATGGTGGGGGGCACACAGCGGAGTAGGGTAGCTCAATGCATGTCCAACAGGAAGCTGAGAGAGATAAGAAGGAGTCTAGAATAAGATGTCAAAAACACACTCACCTCTGACAGTGGCTGACTTCTTCCAACCAGCCCCAACCATTTAGTCTCCACTAGTTCCACCAAATTATTGCACTGTCCAGAAAATAATCACTGATTATGTCAGAGTCCTCAGGATTTCATCATTCCCTATCAGCTGCCAACCAGATTCCCAACATTCCTCCAGCATTCGGGGGATACTTCATGTCCAAAGTGTAATCTCAATATTAAAATGATAGTGAAGTCACATGTCATCCAAGGAGCTTGTGACTAAGGAGACAAGTGTGTACAGGTGCCTTGAAATGCTAAGAACTTAGTTCTGTGATGTATTCATAGGGGGTGTAGCAGGATTAAGAACATGAAGTGATTGAGAACGGGCTGTTTCTTGAAAGGAAGAATAGATAATGGTCACTCACAGGCAAAAATAAAAGCCCAGATGGTGGCCCTCCTCTTTTTACCTCACTGAGCCAGTGAAGAGCATGACAGGGGCACTGGAGATCTTGGGGACCTCAAGATGTGTAAAGAAGAGAAAAGGATCTTCTTCCCAGTGACAGAGTTCAACCCAGCTTCATTCAGGGAAGGAGAGTGAGCCAGGGCAGAGGGAGTGTAGGAAGAGGAGCCCCTGTGGGAAAAACACAGGAACAGGGTAGGAGCTTACACCAGAGTGGATACGGGGTATGATGAAGGGAGAGCTAGAGAGACTCTGGGCTCCTAGTTTGAGATGTGAAGAAAGAAACCCTTAAGGCATTGAATGCTCCGAGTGGACTTGAAGGACTCAAACATGGAGACAAGCTGAACTAGATGGGAC